TTTATTTATTTATTTATTTATTTGGTGCCGGCAATTGAACTTGGGTCTTTACGCTTGTGCAGAGCTCTTTTTATTTTGAGGCAGGAACTCAATAAGTTGTCCAAGCTGAGCTTGAACATGTGATCCTCCTGTCTCAGCTTCCTCATTAGCTAGGATTACAGGAATGTGTTATTATACTTGGCTTAACCATTTCTTTTTCTTTTTTTTGCTTAACCATTTCTTTAAAATAAATTTTATTTATCTCTCTTCCTCAAGTCCCATCCCCTCCCTATGTACAAAAGCTTTGTTTCCATGTTGCCTTCTATTTTCACTTTTTTTCTTGTCCCTTCCTTTCTCTCTCCCTCCTCCCTTGTTCCCCTTCCCCTTTGAACACTTTCTTTCCATTTCCCAACATCCACTATAATTTCAGTCCTTATTTCCACTTTTGGTTTCTCACACCAGAGAAACAGTGGTATTTAAACGTGTCCCCGATTTATTTCACTTTGGAATAACCATTTTAAGTGTTTAATTCAGTAGTATTAATTATATTCATTATTCTGTACAATCACCACCATCGTTTCCCAAATTTTTTATCTAAACTGAAACTCTGACCATTAAGCAATAACTTCTCATTTCCCTCTGTCCTTAGTCCCTGTTAACTTCTGATCTACTTTCTGTATTAGTGAATTTTCTTATTCTAGATGTTTTATGTAAGAGTGATATTTGTCTTTCAGTGTTGAGTTTATTTCATTAAGCAAAATATTTTCAGGGTTCATGCATGTTTCTTTTTATGGCTGAACAATATTCTGTTGTATGGATAGACTGTGTTTTGGAAACTATGGATTTTAACAGCTCCACAATCCTTCTATGTATGGAAAGATCCTACTTTCATAGCCTTTCTCCTCTTCTTGCCCTCACTCAGATAAGCCACATAGCAGATATGCTGTTAACAACACTGGTGACCATGCTGATGACCAGGACGGTGACTCTAGGTAAGGGCTTTGCAGTCATTCCAGGTTGGGGCTAGTCCTACTCATAGGCCTGGGCAGAGCCTTGCCCTCCTGTTGACCCAGATATTTGTCCTCCTGAAAAATCTGAAACTGTTTTCTTCCAATTAGTGAGTGCTTAGGGCTGGGGATTTAGCTCAGTGGTTCTGGGACCTGCCTTACAAGCGAGGACCCGAGTTCAATCCCCGGTGCCAAAAAAAACAAACAAAACCCACTTAGTGAGTGCTTTCAAGTAGTGCAGATTGAGGTTTGCACTACCAGTCTCTGGCTTGGTGAATAATTTGGGCACTTGTTCCAGCTGTGGGGTGTATTGTTGGTAAAGCAGATCTGAGAATGGAGGAGGCCATGTCCAGGTAGGACATTTATCTCCTAGGAGAGGCACATAGAGGAAAGCAGACCCCTTTTTTCTCCTCAGATCTGATTCTTTTTTTTTTTTTGGTACCGGAGATCGAACTCGGGACCATCCACTTTTGAGGCAGGTGCCAGAACCACTGAGCTAAATCCCCGGCACTATAGGAAAAGACTTTATGAACAAAACCTCAATAGCATGGGAACTAGCAGAAAGAATCAACAACTGGGATTTC